TATTATCTGCTTTTTATCTTTGTTGTATCCTTGATTTTTCTTTTGAACTGGTAAAAAAATGTTATTTAAATAACATACTGTAAACATTTAGAGGGAAATTTTCTCTTTGATGGCACTGCTAACAGCTTATCGACACCTGAAATGTAACAAGAGGACTAAACTCTGCGTTTTTGTCAGAGGTCTTAAACCAAAAAAATGTGGAACCAATGGGTTAACAATGCTTTGCTGTGAGTTTAAATGGCAAGTTTAAATCTAAAACTTGGAGTAGAAGTACAAAGTAGCAAAAATGTTCAATGTTGGAAAAAAAAATAAAAAATACAGTACTTGAATAAATGTACATGAGACTGTCTACATACAGACATATTTCTGGTACGGCTAAAATAATACATATTTAATAACTCCTGCACTGAATATGTTAATACCTCATGTATTCAAGAATGTTACATTAAAAACAGTCCACATGGTTAACATAGAGTATAATGTAATATGTAAAGTAATTAAATGACATTATTACATTAACCAGTCATGGAGATGATGTTCAATAAATTATTTTTATAAACATGTTTAGGTGACAGTTATGAAGCTACAGGTGGTTAGTTGATGGTAAATTGGCTGCAGGTTGCCATGACTCGGCTTGCCTGGTTCGGGCAAGTGATGATCAGGCAGTGTCGTCAAAACATATAACAGAAACAACAATCCTTAGCTAGGTACTTTAGGTCCCAAAAAAGTTCTATGAGAAGGAAAAAATCTCCAAACAGTCGTCAGAGTCTGATGTGAATAATGTTTATTTGAAACAGAGGCTGCACGCGGAAGCAACCGTCCTCCGCTTCGCGTCGGACGGTTCACGCCTCCGCGTCGTCCATTAATTTCTGATAATGGACACCTCGTCGGGCATTATCCCTTACTTATATACTTGCGAACTTCGTCCGCCTCCCCTCCTACCATGGGAAAAACCGCAACCTGATTTGTTTGATACCCATCAGAACGTCAGTGCAATTTCCTGCTTAGCACAGCATAATGTAAAACTCTGCTGCTACGCTGGGTTCCTGTTTGCCCCCCCCAGTGGTGGGCTTCTTTCGACTTTCTGGACGCCATCTTTACTGGGTCATTTCCAGGTCATGGTGTCCTTAACTGAACTCGCAGTGCAGAGGAGAGCGCATGTGTGTCCGTCCTGCTATATTCCAGGCCTGCCAGCAGGTCTCAGGCTTCTGTAGATTTTCATTAGGTTGGGTTTTTTCCGCAGGTTTGTCCAGTCTATTCATGTTGTTTTTGTTTACACATGATATTATTTACCCCATATTATTTCTTCATGCTTATCTTTTACACATCACATTTTAGTCTTATTTCCACATTTATTTCATCTTCCTAATCATATCTTTAGGTTTGTCTTTTATGTAACTCTAAAATCAGTAATCCAAAAAAATCCCACACCAAGGTGTGAATGTGCATGGTTGTCTGTTTCTTTGTGTTGGCCCTGTGATGGAGTGGGGAACGATCCAGGTTGGACTTGTTTCCCCATTGGGACAGGCTCAAGCATTTATCTAATGAGGAAACAAAAAATAATATAAAATAAAAAAGGAAACAGGCTGATTGAACGTATTTCTGATTGATTGACAGTTAACAGCACAGTTAACCCTACAGAGGAATTCCCATTTACCCTACTGAACCATTTCATTTTAGTCACAGGCAACGGAGTAAAAACCTTTCCTGGCAGATACACCACCATCAGTATACCTGTAGTGTGTGTGTTCTGTTTGTTTTTATTGAAAATGTAAAAAGTGGCTTGAAACTTGACTGTACCTGTATTTCATTTGTTCCAGTAGTGCATGTAAGCTGTGATGGCCGAGTGGTTAAGGCGTTGGACTCGAAATCCAATGGGGTTTCCCCGCGCAGGTTCAAATCCTGCTCACAGCGTTGATTTCTTCAGCTTTGTACCTTACCAGTCTGGGTGATATATTGTTGTGATATAGTGGCGCTTTAGCAATGTGGGCTGGAGTGACTATAAACATCTGCAACTCTTTAGAGATGCAATATCGTCAAGAACCTTAAAGAGAAGTCGAGCTGTTTTCTACTGAGGCAATCTACAGATATATACTATATATATATCTTATGCCTGCTTACATTTCATCCCAGAAATGGTGCTCTCTTTCCCACTGCGCTATCATCCACCTACCTCATGTATATAGGGTGTCAATAATTGTATTTATTTTTTAACTAGTGTTTACTCTAGACTTTGGTTCACTGTAACACTGTTCACTTTATGCTCTAAAACTCTTTATCTATAGCTGTACATGCATTTTAAACACTCATTTTCCTTCTGTTGTCCCTGTTTAAATGCATGTTTCATCTTTTTATACTAAGCAAACACCGGAATCAAAAGTTTTCTGTGTGTTTAAATACTTAGTCAATAAAGTTGATTCTGATTCTTCTGATTCTGATGTTGTCAAAATTTTTCATATTTATGTCGAGAACGGCCGTGCACACATGAAAGCCTTGGCAGAGCAAAGATCTAGAAATGTTTCGAGTATTGTTTGGGAGTGCAGGTTGAAATTTAATCCCATTTCCTTATAAATACACTGTAAAACTTTCAGGTTTATGAGTGCTGACTGAAAATTAAATATTTCAACATTCTGCTTTGAATGCTTCATGAAAGTGTTTTTCTAAATACTTGAGACCCTTGATTCAAGTCTTTACAATGCATAGGGCTCACTTGTTGCTGTGTTTTTTATTGCTGGTCTTCAAGTCTCAAGGTAATCTGTTCTCAGAAATTCACTTCACAAAGTCACAAGGTAAAAAAAAAGTTGGTACAGCAAAATTGCATATAAAAACACTGAATATGTTTTTCTTCCAGTCCAACACTGTCCAGTGACTTATGCGGACAATAATGTCTAGATGATTGGAGATCCAGAAGAAGCAAACAATGGCACTGTAGTTGGATTTAGATTAAGAAGTCCAGCTCTATAATCCTGACCTGGTCATGATTATTGTGATGAAAATGGAAAGTGGAGCGGCCCAGCTCCAAAATGCACAGGTAGAGTGCCAACAATGAAAACAGAAAGCAGTGTCCAGACTGACTTTTAAAGAAGGTCTCATTTAGCAATTAATAAGTAACACAGAACCATTCACTAAGCACCCAACAGTTATCTTGTAACACCAGAACAACCAACAGGAATCAGTTAGAGAGCATCTAGTTATGACCCATAGCAGACAATAGGGCTGTACTAGCTTAAGACCTAAAACCCCAAATGTATATTAAGTTTTTGTTATTTGAGACAAAAACTCAAGTTTAGGTAAAAGAGGACAAATCCTAATAGATCTAATGAGTTCACTTAAATAATCTTGACAGACTTGGAGACTGGAATGGTTTTGGTAAATATATGTGGTTTCCTTGTTGAGAGAAGAGGAGCATTGACACCACTCTCATGTGTCAGTGTAACAAAATAGGCAGTTTAGCTCAGCACAAACATTGCTTGTCTTTTTTAGTTTGCTCTACAGAATGCCATTCTTATGAAAAAAATAAATAAAATAAAATAAAACCTGTCCATGTAAACCAACAGACCACCACTACTTGCCAAAGATGGATGGACTGTGAGGTATCACCCCGTTATGCCAACGTATACAACTACATGTGCTGCTTTAAAGCCAGAGACAGATTATGACATTAGTTTTTCACTGTGCAGTGTTTCATCAACCCATGATGATGACAATCAGTCTCATGTTCATTAGAAAACAGACAAATCTTTCTCTTCTTCCAGAGGTTATAGGCAGCAATCAAGGAGACCCACTTTGAGGTACTGGTGTTTCTCTTGGTGGCAAAAACATTAAAAGATGGATGACACTGTCAATTGTAGGTTTAAATCTGGCTATCTGAGTACAAATGAAACCATGTCAGATTGTCAGAAGCGACAGAACATGTATGGCCCAGCTAGGAAGAAGCTTCTGCTCTCAAATGAAGAACCCAGCTGCTCATCTCAATTTTGCCAGAGTGTGCCTGGACAAACCTTTTTTTTTTTTTTTTTTCTAGAAGTCCACCTATCTAAAGAGAGCCCTGTCAAGAAAATCTTGAACAGAATGTCGTGCCATCAGTTGTAATGCATTAAAACCACCAGGGCTAATTTTGCTGTGCCGCTTCATCTCTGGTGTGACTAAGTCTTTATGCTGAGAAACTGGCAGTTTTCTGCCATTACCAAAACACTGTTTTTCCATTGTCTTCTACAGATCCCTGTAGGTCAAATGAAGAAGACAATGCTATATCACTTTCAAATCTAGTGACAATAACAAATATTTTGCTCGTGATGAAATAATCAAGTTCAGGTGTGTTGGTGCAGTGGTAACACATCACAGGTCAATGGTGGTGTGACCCTGCTGCCAACATTAAAAACTTACACTACAACAAATAACTGTCCTGGTGTAGCAGTTTCCAGTAGCCTTAAATATCATAATATGTTGGCCAAAGCTATCAAAATAGTCAGGAATTATAGCCATTGCTAGACATGGCAGGGTTTCACATATAAGATGACTTTTCATATTATTGTAATCTAATTATATGTATTCTCTGGTTTCTCATCTGAATCTATGGAGAATGCATTTGTGACCACCACCAGCAGGTCAAAGTTTTTAACTTTCCAATGAAATATTGCTTCTTACAAACTGGCACACTGACATTTACTGTTCCTTTATTTCATGGATGCCCCAACATTTCCTCCTGCACCATGACGTTTGATTTTGTGGTTTTAAGTGGATTTCATATAGTTTTCAGATAGTGCCATCATCAAAATTATAATCGTCTATCCCATACTGACATCATTCCATCAGCTGTAGCTCTACTTTTTTTTTTTTTTTTTAACCTAATTAGCAAATGTAATGCCAACATTCCATTTAAAGTTCCTGTTTCAGGACTGCAATTTGTGAAAGACAGGTGACTGTGATTTATTTTTCTGAAGGTAAATCTGGCTTCCTTCTGCCTACTGCTGGGCATAAAATCTAGCCAAGGAACAACATTTGAAAAAGCATATCCATTTTATTATATACATGGAAATGAATAAGTAACAAAAACAACAACATCATAAAAAGCTTTTTTCTGAAATAAAAAAAAATGACAATGAATAAAAACGTAAACGTTTCTCTATTTACAACACAATGGACAGTGTTTCTGCCACCATCTGAATGGCCCTCAGGGGATCCACGATGTCTTTGAGCTTGTCCTTTCTGAGGACCCAATCTGGGGCAAATCTGAAAAAACAAAAACAGGATTTCAATTACAGCTTCAAACATAAACACATCTGTTTAACTCATGACACATACAGCACTGTATGCAAACAGAAATATACATACTTGGGCGCGGGGCGGGATTTACGAGGTGTTGCTGAAACGAAGAAGCTCCCATTGATTGATGCGTTCATCTTCTGTTTGACAATGGTTCTCTCTGCGTCCATCTTGTGTTTGCGAGCAGTGAGGCGGTAAATACTGCGTATCCTGTCCAAGACCTTGGGTAGCTTCATGACCTCCTAAAGAAGATAAAGTTTGCATTTTTTATCATGTCTCCTGTAAAATGATTATTTGAGATTGTATTTATGTTTTTCTCTCATCTGTTTGATATAGTAGGTACGTACCTGAGCGCGGTGCTTATCCTGCAGCAACAGCGCAACCAGGAAGCAAGCCTTAGTGAAGATGCTTCCGCCCTTTTCTGCCACTTTATCTCCTGCTTTCTCCCTGTATCGCTGCAGCAGGTCCAGCAGCGTCTCCACGGAGTTTTCCACCGAAAACACAGCCTCTATGGTCTTGTGGTACTGAAGGAGGAAATAAAAAGTGAGTGAGTGGAGGAGAGGAAAAGAAAAACATGATATCAAAAAAACATTAAACACTTGTTCACATAAAACACAGGGTAAAAAGATTTAGGGCTGCCATGATTAGTCACGGGCTGTAAGGTGGGCTGCTCGGTGGTTAGCACCGTTGCCTCGCAGCTAGAAGATCCCCGGTTCGCATCCTAGTGAGGACACCCGGGATCTTTCTGCATGGAGTCTCCATGTTCTCCCCGTGCAGTGTGAGTTCTCTCCGGGTTCTCTGGCTTCCTCCCACACAGTCCAGAAACATGTTGAGGTTAATTGGTGATTCTAAATTGTCCGTAGGTGTGAATGTGAGTGTGCTTGGTTGTCTGTCTCTAAGTGTAGCCCTGCGATATACTGGTGACCTGTCCAGGGTGTCTCCTGCCTTCACCCTGAGTCAGCTGGGAGAGGCTCCAGCGACCCTAGTGAGGATTAAGTGGTGTATAGATAATGGATGATTAGTCACCATAATGAATGATGTGGCTGCTGAAAATCTATCAACATCGATATCTTAAACAGATGTATCCTTTTTAAAATTATCTCGTAAAATACTTCAAGTCATTGTAACAAGTGTTTAGGACTGGACCTGAATATCTGAATATTCGGTCGTCGTGGTATCCGGATAGCAATTTTGATATTCGAATGTTTGCCCGCTACAACCCCAATGGGCCTGAATATCCAAATATCAAAAATTACTATGCGGACCAGCCTTACAAAGTGTTTTTTTGTCGGTATCACTATCATGACGCCAATTGGTTTTGGCTCCAGTTTTTGGCCAGCATTGGTCAGTGCTCCAGTTTTACACAATGCATAAACAATGCGGAGTTTCCAAGACCCAAGTGTTTGAAAGTATAAGAGCACCTCAAATTCTCACTGCACAAACAGGTGGTTTGCACACTGTGCAACGTTTTGGTAGAATACTACAGCAGCTCAGCGCAATGCACCAACTCCTATGGAGAAAACACACAGGGGGAACTGGGTGTGGAGACGCTTCACATCCGTTCGCTTCCGTCCTGCTACATGCGCTCATATAAACGGCATTTAAACACAGCTGAATTCCCAATAAAGCATTTTCATTTTATCTGTAGTTACAACCGAGTATGAAATAGGGACTGAACGTTAACCAGCAGTCACTTCATCAGAGCCATTATCAAGCTGCTGCTCTGCACTACTAAAATCCTGGTTTTCTAACTGTAACGTGGTCTGACAAAATCAATGTGTACATGAGTTAAAGATGACGGCTATGCTTTGACTTCAGCTATGCTTGAAGCTTATACCAAAGTCAGAAAAATGACAATTTGATAAAAACTTGGATGTCTTTTAAAGTTGCACCAATGACTTAAATAACTAAGCCCTCTTTCTTTTTTTTTTTACTGTATTTAACCCTGCAGTTCTGCACTTTAATATCAGCTTTGTTTTATTACAAACTGAACCACAATATAAAATGACAAACAATTCACCAAAATAAAATAAAATGGTAATTTTGCTTGTTTGCAAGATATTTATTGTTTAGATTTATTGACTAATCAGTAAAATTGAATAAATCAGTACAAAAATAGTCGTTGGTAGCAGACCTAAAAGACTGCGATGCAATAACGTTACGCAGCAGTGAGGGAAGGAGTTGGGTGTGATGTGCGGCATTTTACACATTTTAGTTGCGTCACCGCGACTAAACTGAAACATCAACTATTAAATGCATTTCCATGAAAACTGAATCAGATAGTTCATGGTTTCCAGGCAATGACTCTCATAGGATGTGATCATCTGACTTTTGTTTAAACTCCAACATGAGGTTTAGCGTGAAATCAACAACTATTGGCTGGATTGCCATGAAATGATTCGCAGTATGAATTCCAATCACTTTGGCAATGCTTTCACTTCTTAGCTAGTGCCAACCAAAAACCTGCAAAGCGTTCCCATCAGCTGTGCTTTGTGTTTAGCACTGATGAGCTAAATTAAGAGAGTGAACATTTGTGTGCCACAGTTTAGCGGATTATTTTTGCAACACAAGCAATTGAAGTTCACAGAACGAACAAACTACCAAATCAATAGTCTGTGACTGAAGTAGGCCATGGTCAATCTACGCAACAGAAATGGTGAATTCCAGTTTTGAGAAGAAAAAAAAAAAACAAAAAAAAAAACAGGGACAGAAAAAACAGAAAACTGTCTTCAGTCCAGTCTCACTGCATCTTGCTTCACTGTCCTCCAACTTCAGAAATGTCTTAAGGTTTAAAAACTGTCACTAAGACTTGCATATCACCACGCCTGGATTACTGCATGGCTCCGTTCAAAACAATTTAATCCGCTGACATTATACAAATATTTAATGTGATGGCACCAACAAAACTATCATTCATCTTTAGTTTTTTATAAGCTATTAGAGTAAAAGCTTGTAACAGACAAGGATGAAAATATTTTGCAAAATTATTTTACACCAACTTCATTCAGGGTTGTCAAAAGCTAAACAGTGCGATAGATGCCGAAAAGCTTCGACATTGTAGATGCTTGCTGCAATTTATTATTTATTCCTCTATGTCCGTTCTTTCTTATTTCCCTCTTAGTTTTTTTAGAAAATAAAAAATGCAGACGTTGCAGAAATGTCCAGATGCTGAACCGTGGGAACAGGAACTCACTGTAAAACTACAAATGACGACCAAAGATGCTGACCTTCAGTCTGAACTCGACTTTGCAGAAGAGAAACCTGAGTCTGAACGCCAATTAGCTGATAAAAAGGAACAGAAAATCTGCAGGGAAGTGAGAGATCAGAGCAGCTGAGGAAACACACTGTGCATCCGCAGATAAACTTTCAGCATTAAACATTTGAACTTTGCCCTCGTGTCACACAAGTTCCTTGGTGGTAACTTGTCATTCAGCACCATAACTAACACTGCTCCTGCAATGCACCAAAAGATTGTAAACTTTAAGGACTTGTACGAAAAATAAAGGCATTTTTCTTTTGATTTATAGAAACAGTGTAAATACAAAACAATTACAGAAAGTATATGAGGAACAGTGAGAGTACCCACAATATACAGGCCACAAATAAACTTTCAGGCTGCATCTATGTACTGGCACTTTCGAAACACACAGAGGCTGCATTTCCATAAGGAATCTTTATGTGCTCTTTGAAGAATTGCATGAGAAAACTTGAAACTGCCCATCAGAATTTGTAAAGTTATGCTTTCAAACTGAGGTTTTTGACTTTTCTGATAAAGGATTCATGTGTATAATAGATCTGCTGGTCTTCGTTGTGTCTTCAGCAGCAGGCCGATATCAGCTGACATGACCGAACAATCACAGCTTTATTAAACTGAAAAAGAAGTTTTGTTACTTCTTTTGTGTTGTAATTATTTATTTCTTTTTTTGTGGTGCTTGTCAAACACACAGGATGCATTCCACAGTACTTGTTTTAAATACTTCAAGTTCGTACTGTTTGATGCACTATGTATACAATTGGGACATCCTACTTTGTCATAATATTGCACCTTATGGTTTGACTGTCAGTCTGTAGCGCTAAATGATCTGGCATCTGTGTGTGCTGTCAGCACCTCAAACCTGCTAACGTGAGACACTGCAACGTATGTAACTGCACCGACGATTGTGTGTCAGAGTAGCCAGAGAAGCATGCTGGCATGCAAAGAGCGAAATCTGAGTGGATGCAGACATTGTGGTATTTTTGGCACACGAGTTGAGAAAACTGTTTTACTGACTTACTATATAGCATGGTAGAATGAATATTAGAACTTGGTTTGTTTCTGGCTTTTCTCCTGTTTATTACAGCCATGCATAACACAGCGTATACTGCCACCCTCTGACAACACTAGTTTATTAGCTCCAAAGCAGTTAATGGAAATAAGCCTAATCTGCCTTTCCTTTTTTTTGACATTTAAAAAGTTCGCTTAAACTTTGCTTGACAGTCATACGGAGACACAGCTAATAACAAATGGGAGAGACCTCAAAGCAGAGCTCCTGGCTCTGCTGCATTATAGGTTCCCAGAGTGACTCTCTGAAAGGTTTCTACCGATTTTCAAAGCTCCAGACTGCCTGCTCTGCATCTCAGGTGTCTCCTGAACCTCCAAATCACCCTCCAAAGCCTACAGTCATGTCTCGATCACTCCTCAGTTGCACTTATTAAATATGCAGGGAGAGAGCTGCATGTGAAGGTGCAGTTAACAGCTAGTTACAGAAACCAAACTTAATTTAAAATCGCCTGCATTTTCTGTGTGCTCACAGACTGCTACAGCAATCTGACAGCAGGACTACAAAAACTGGTTTACCCTGAGGTGAAAAGTACAGCACAGCTTCAATGTCAAAGCCCTGTCAAAGAAAACCAACCAATCAACTGTGTTTTACTTTCATTTTCCGAGTTCACCCAGTTACTTTAAAAGGCAACATGACACAGAACGTGCCCCTGTGTGTCCGTGGTACCTTGGAGAGGTTGAGGAGGATCTGGATGGAGAAGGTGATGACGTCCATGCAGGGGACACTCCTGTTGCAGCAGCGGATCAGCGTGAAGATGACGTTGGTGGCGCCGCTCTCCACCAGCCGCTCGCAGCACTCTGGGGACAGCCGGGTGGCGGTCTCTGTACACACAAAACACACAGAGGGTCTTCTGTTAGCGCCGGATGAACCTCACGCTCACATAAATCAAACTCACATACTGTAACCAAGTATAATCGGTTTGGATTTCAGTGGGGAATTCTCGCCTCACACTTAAATAGTCGCTGCTTACACACAGATTTGCTCAAAACTGTTGCAAATAATCCTGTTACAGAAAAATCCAAAAGCGGGCACAGAGATCAGAGACCACAATTTTCACAAGCAAGCAGAAATAATTTGAGTACAAGAAGAGGAGATTGAGTTGGGCCATGTGAAACCTGTTCAAGCAGCCGTGCATCTGACGTACAGGTTTGAGCAATATCTGAACGTGAAAACAACAAATCATGCTCTCACACTAAAGGATCGCACGCTTCTAGAATATAACCCCAAAGTCTCAGTTGGATTTCAGATTACACTTTAGATTTTGGGAACACATGTTAACATGCTAATATAATCCTGACAGCACCAGCACTTCTTCTATTCCCCACAGCCGCAAACAACAAAAAAGAAACTTTTTCCTCACAGTTTCTAAAATTATTCTTTTTCTCATGCTTAACTCCCATACAGTTCATGCTGCTGTTGCACTAAAGCCACCTGGGAGTGACAAAATGAGTTGGAGTCTCTCTAGCTGCTTCACATGTGGTGGCTAAAAGGAGAACCTCACCCAGGTTTTTCAGGGCCTCTAGAATGTAGGAGAAGTGTTTGTATCGAAGGAGGTAGTCGAGCGCGGATGATGTCTTGTTGCACAGTTTGTCCTCCTCTCGGACGCCAGCGGAGACTTGACGTAAGTGGTGCCTCAGCTTCACTATCTTGGGGTTGTCATTCAGTCGGCGGGAGCGGTGTCCTCTCCACAGAGCCTGGACAGATGAGGACGGGAAAAAGGACAGAAAGATTAATACAAATCACCAGTTAGCTACCAAATATTGATGAATCCGATCAGAGCGTGATTACAATGTTTTGACGTAGCGAGCCTATTGACTGAAATGGTGTAAGAACTCAATTAACCCCCATACATTCAAAGCCAGCATTTTGTTGTTAGAAATCATAGAAAACACAGTAATCACCAATAACGACAAAACAGAAGTCATTTCATGCTACATTTGTGCTCTCAGGTTTCCCTAATACGATCTGGCAAAGACTCTGACTGCCCTTATTTGATCCACAACAACAGAATCTAACGCTTTGTTAATGACTTACACTTAGAAGCAATATTTCATGCCAAATATTGTTTCTTTATCCTGACTAAGAACTAAAATGTCCCACCTGACGCCACCACAACATAGTTCTAGAGAATAACAGTCAGCATGCTGCACAGCGAATGACTGTGGCTGAGGCTGTTCATTGATACCGCACTTGATGATGACAAATAATATGACAAATTCATGCGATAACAGCTTCTATAGAAACTTTATGGGGCTTATTTGCCCATTCATGTAACTCTTTTACAACTGTTGAGACTTTCTTACAGAGGCATTGGAACCTCCCTGCACTTTCAGTGAGAGCATGCAATGATGATTTGTCACTTTAAGATTTGGAATAAGAATACTTCAAGCTGCCTCATAAAGGATAAGTTCACCGGTTTTCCACTTCTGTCTTAAATGGGGATGTAAACGATATGCTGTAGTACCTGGTTGTGCCACCAGGTGGTGCATCTCACTATAGGTCAACGAGATGAAAAAATGCAGCGAGTTTGCTGTGTTTAATGCTGCAGCAAACAGAGGAGTCAGTCACTGGGACCACGAGTACAGTGTTGGCAAGAAGAGAGCATTGTGGGGTTTAGCTAGCATCAGGCCACCATGACAAAGACTTCTGTGGCCGTTAATGGTTTCTGGCCAGAGCTCACGTAATGCTCCCGTTAGTGAGTTGCTATTCTAACAGAGCCCCATTTTCAGCAATCATTGTGTGTCTGTGGTTGAAAATAGTTCTACCTAAAAGTTGCATTCTTTGTCTCAAAGCATCATGTTTGTTTTCATGCGAACATTTAAAAGCCTCTGTTTCAGACTGGCCATTAAGATATATATCCCCATTTCAAGGGAGTCCACAGTCCTTCCACCCCATCAGTAAAATCATGCAGATATCTTCCCAGATTACAGTCCTTGGTGGGAAAGCTCCTTTGTCTGTTTCTATTGGACAGCATTTCTAGTTGCAATGCAGTGGATGAATAATAACAAAAAAGGGAATTTTGTACAAAAGTAGTTCTGTCTTTAAAGCAAAGTGCATTTGGAGGAGAACTCCTAATGGCCAGTATAAACAAAAGTGATACTTTATTAAGTTTCAGTGCTCAAATGGGCATCAGACTATAGATTATATAGAAATGACACGACGAAAATGTGTAAACTCGCCAGTTGTAAGTAGGCAGGCACCACCTGCACCACTATCGGCAGTGACCGTCATACCTGAGCCTTGACAAAGCCCCTCTGAACCCTCTTCTGGCGCCTCAGAAGAAGGAATTTCCGAACAGCCTGCTGGATGACGGACGCAGCGTTGTGACGACGAGCGAGCCAGCTCTTGACTGCTCTCTGAGCTGTAACCACCTTCTTCCTGTCCTCCAGATAACGTCTCCGGTGCTGCGTCGCTCTCACCCATCGCTTAAAACAACATGAGAGAATAAGTTTAAGACATGTTGTGTTCTTACTAGTAAATGACAATATGGTCTCTTTGTCGCTGTACCTGTATGGTGATGACAGAGTGGATCTGTCTTTTAGCAGACTCTAAAGCCCAGTGAGCTCTCAGAGCTCGTTGGATCTTTATGGCACTGAGATGATGAAAAACTGCTGACGTAAAACGGAGCCTCCTCTCTGCCCGAGCTGCCTCAAGTACCTGAAACACAGTGGCACAAATTTAAAGGACTGTAAACTCTTTTTTTTTTGTAGCCTGTTTAATACAAATCTTCATCAAAATGTTTATACTATAATTTTTTTTGCAAACATCATATCAAAGTAACACTTCACCTGATGTTTACTTTTAAGTTTCAAGAAGGCAACAACTGAAAAAAATCAAGGCTGCTGAAGGCAGGACAAACATCTCTAACGACTTTTGAACTTTACCTGACGTCTTGCAATCCAGGCTCGGCAGTGTTTCTGAAGTGTGACGGCAGCTTGCCTCATTTGGGTGTAATTGCTCCTCTCCTCTCTGCCGAGCTGCACTGCTCGGACCCTCCGCTGCAGCTTCACTGCTGCTTCTTTCTTCTTCTGGAAGATCCGCCGCTGCACTGAACCTCTCCAGCATGACTGGATCACAACAGCAGCTCGGTTTTGTCGGCTGATGTCCCTCCTGACACACCAGCCTCTAATGGCTGCCTGAAGGCGAACAGTGGACCGTTTCAGTGACAGAAACTTTACCCGTTCTCGTCTTACAAGAGTACAGGAGCGACAGTGTCTCTGGATGATGATGGCGGACTGTCGCATTGCCTGGAATTTGACTTGCTCTCTGTGTTTTCTGAAAGCGGACTGGATCATGGTAGCAGCCTGATGGCGATGAGAAACCTCTTTCCTGACCTGCTGCCCTCTGAACGCTGCCTGGAGGATGACTGCTGCGCTGCGCAATTCCAGGTATTGTGTTCTTTGTGCTTTAGCTGCTATAGTGGCCCGATGTTTTCGCTGGACATTAAGGACAGACAGTTTCAATTTCAGATAACGCTGCCGTTGACAGTGGGCTCTGTAGGTTCTTTGGAGAACACTGGCAGCCTGGTGCATCTGTTTGATGTTTTGTCTGGATTTCATTCCACGATATGCAGCCTGAAGCATGA